TCAGTAATTTTAACAAAATCACAAATATAGCTTTATTCTGTGTTTTGATTCAGATTAAAAATCCTTGGGGTATCTAGGGAATATACAAAACTTTGAGAGGAAAAATAATAAAATTAGCTCTCAACAGGAATGGAAAATAAAGGGGAAACAGACATTAATGAACAACTTTGCAACGTTTTAGTTTATAAATTTTAGCTGTCAAATATACTGCTTAAAATGTAATTTAGTCTCTGACAAATTGAATTCCAAACAAAATGTAAAAATGAGCAACATTCACATTAGTACATTTTTCTCTTTCTGAGTTAGTGATTCTGTGGGGATGGGGCGGAGAGGGTGACAAGAGTGACCATATGACCATGGTGTAAACACAGGGCAGAATCCAGCACCTCCAGTGGGAACTTCAGTCTGGGGAAGAGGAGGCTGAGGGGACACCACCTTGCTCTCTACAACTCCCTGAAAGGGACTTGTGGTGAGGTGGGTCTTAGCAACAAAACAAGAGGAGATGATTGGCTCAAGCTGCAGCAGGGGACGTTTCATTTGGATATTCAGAAGAATTTCTCTCCTGGCAGAGTGGTGAGGCCTTGGCCCAGGCTGCCCAGGGAGGTGGTTTTTTCCAACTTTAATGATTCTATGATTAATTTCTTTAGTAAAAAGAATAAGATTACTAAATTTATTAATGAGGAATTGTTCTTCTGGTTTAGCCTCCATGGTGCTTACTTGTAACCATAACTCTTGTATTTGAAAAAGCTTTAAAGAGATATCTATAAACTGGCAGTTTCTAACTGAAGTAACATCTAATTTAGAATTGAGGCATTTTCCCTTTACAAAGACCTGTTGATGGCAAATACAGAATTTATGCAGAGATTTTGGAATCTCAAAGAAACACATTTGGGAGTGTTGCAAACTAATTGTTCCTGTTAATGCTTTCTTTGTTATCAATGAGGAAAAGATTTTTCTACACTTCCTGAATATATAACTTTCTTGAGTGAGATAAATGGAAAGGTGAAGAAGAAAATGCAGGAAAATAGGAGGGTGACAAAAGATTAGGAGAAATAATATTAAATAAAGTTAATAGTTACCTGCTAATGCTATTAGCATATACCTGCTAATACTTATATATTCCCAAATGATGTCTGACTCTCCCCAGGTGATAGTTCTGCTTGCCTTATGTTTTCTGTTCAAGGCAGATAGTAGTAATTATCTCTGAATTGTGAAGGTTGCATGTGTTCTAATTAGTAAATGTTAAATTTGTTGAAATTTTAGACTTTATAAAACGATAGGAAGTGTAGAAGGTACTGGGAGTGTGGAGCTGGACCAGTGAGATTTCATTGCTTGGTGATGCCAGACCTCACAGCAGCATTTTCACAACATAAAGTAAATCCCATAAAAATTCTGAACCTAGTAATGTTATTTACTTTGTGTATCTTATTCAAAAATAAGATTTAGAGCAAACATTTGTGCCCTGTCCCTGTAAAATTTCTGGTTTCGTGTTTAAACAAAACTGCCATACAATTTTGTTCTGGCTAAAATGGGACTGGAAGGGTTTGGGTTCAGAAAATGCTACTGAGGAGCTTCCTGTGAGTTCTGGTGTTCAAAAGCTCCTGCTGGGTGGTGGATGAGCCCTGGTCTCTGGTCACCTCCAGGCAGTCTGGCTGGCAGCAGGGGGGATCTGCTGTGGGCTGGGCAGAATGCTGCTGGGTGGCTCTTTGCTTCCCTGCTTCAGAACCAGACGTGGAGCAGTCAGGGTGTTCCCTGGAGACCACCGAACAGCGCTAGAGACCAAACGGTTCCTTCCCAGGTGGTGGGAGGATGACAGACAGTCAGCTGGAACCAGCAGCCAGCCCTAAGGCTGACATTCAAATGCTAACCTTAAATTCCAGACAAAGGGCTTTCATTTTACTTGAACAGGTTCAGCTGGGAACAATTCCATTCCAATTATCGTGGCTACAGATGTATAAGTGAGACCAGAATCTGGCCCCTTGTAGTTACTGCTTTATAGGAATACTCACAAAAGGCTGTGAGTGGGTAAGAATTGGGCATGATTTTTTTTTGTCCTTTGGAGTCTCTCAAACCCCTTCCCCAAAAGTACTACAGTCCTAGGATCATCAGGTCCAGCCATCAGCACAGCACTACCATGTCCCCAGGTAGCACATGTACATGTTTTTTGAACCTCTCTGTGGACGGTGACTCTACCCCCTCCCTGAAAGAAGTTCTTCCTAATGTCCAGTTGAAACCTCCCATGGTGCAACTTCAGGCCTTTTCTTTCCTTTTTCTTTTAAACCGTAGGCATTCTGTCCAGGTCAGTGCATAACCACAGGGTGGAGAGTTTCACTTCTGTTTACACTACATGCAACACCTAAAGGTCTGATGTGGTCAACCTGTGGGCTACGAGTTGTCCACTCAGTCAGCAGAGTCATCAACACTTGCTGTTGTCTGTGCAAAAACTGTGTCACCAGGAGGGAAACTCCATTGTCCCCCCTCCTCTTCCTCTGAAAACCCAAATCATGAGTAAAGTGTCTCTTCAGAAGAATCTTACAAAGCTGTTTGTTTAATTTTTAAAATGTTTTCCTTAGATTAATATCAACATATGGGGTTTTATGCAAAAGATTCGTTAGTGTTTAAGCCTGAGCAGAGATTGTTTTGTAGTTTTGTTGATTGAGCTCTTCTGCTGGAGAAAGCTGCTAATTTTAGCTGTTTTGTAATTTTTTTCAGAGAGACTAAGTGCCAGCTAAGCATTTACCCAGGCATGTGTATAAGCACAGACTTCTGTAAATCAAAGGAGCAAGATTCTTTTTTGTTTAAAACCCCCACACACCAGCCTAATATTGTCTGCTAGACAATATTTTTGTGCAGTGGATGGTTTCAGGAGGTGATTTTGGTAGGGAACATTTGTCTGCATCTAACTTCCTGTGAAGCTCCTACTTTAGGTTTACTTTATTATAGCCTGGTGAGTCTGGGCTCTTGTAGTAGGCTTTGCTACATGGCCATCACAATATGATAAACAACTTGAAGCATAAAAAAGAAAAATGGAAAAAATACTGAATAAAATGAAATACAAAATGGACAGACCTGAAGGGGTGCGGGGATTGTGCTATAGAGATAAAATAATAAACCCAAAAAAATGATTTTGTGCTACTTTGATGTACAGTAAAACAAAATAACACTAGCACACTGTGAAAAATGAACAGGTTAATGGTACCTCTGTGTGGTGTTGCTGGAAGTTGTCTTCATTTAAACGCAGAGTTTGTCTTACATTGATGGAGGGCTTTGCCACTGTAAGTTGATAGAGTGAAGTTTAACTTAAATTCCTTCATGAACTACAAGTCATTTTGGAAATGCTTTCTATTCAAACCTCATTCATTGTTCCAGCGTAGTTCTTTTATACAATGTTTCACTATATTTTGTCAAAAGCTCTATTATTTAACAGAGTGAAATTTGTTCTGGCCACAGAGAAGCAGCAATGCTGTTAGAAATACAAGGAGGTTGCATTTTTATTAGCTGGCTTGGGGAAGAGTTGATCAAAATGGGTTTTTGGTCTGTAAATCTCTGGGTTGGGATGGCAGCTGTGTAGGATGATGCACACGGACGGGAGGGATAAATGTGGTCATTGAAAACAATAATTAAATGTAACAGGTCTGTAAACCTTTAACATTCTGCATTAAAAACTGCAGTAATAATTTGTCAGCTGGTCAAGGGAGGGTGCAATTTTTGGCAGGGTGGGCTAACATTCTTGGTTTAACCCATCTGTCATAACAAAGGACAGCAGTCCATTTGTAGAGATAATTCATCAGTTTTGGGGAAGCTCGGTGTTGGATTACTGCTGTGTCTTCAGAAGCAGGCAGCTCTCTGCCACCACTCAGAAGGCAAGGTTTAAGGTCGTGTTGCCTTCAGGGTTTCAACTTCTCATCTTTAGGCAGCACAGCCTTGAATTTTCTGTGGTGCAAGTGTGTGGCACAGACTTCAGAGCAGTCCCTGTTGAGACCCTGCTCCGCTAGCAACCTGGAAGGTCATGGAAGCCCTGGGTAGTGGAAAAGCTTGACTAGATTATGGACAGCAGGGGTACACAGTGATGTGCCTTCTGTGGAGCAGCCTGTCCGGCAGGCTGAGGTGATGCCCCTCAGCAGGGCTGGAGTGGGCGTGGCTGTGTCCATCCAGCACGGGGCTGAGCCAGGGAGTGCTGTGCACCCAGTCCCAGTGGCTCTGGTGTCCCTGCAGTCACTGCATCGCTCACCCACAGCCACTACAAACCACGGCTTGTGAGGACAGCACCACACATCAGGAGGCTCTGTCTGAACATCAGGAAAAGCTTCTTTGCTGTGAGGGGGCCAGAGCCTGGCCCGGGCTGCCCAGAGAGGTTGTGCAGTCTCCTGCTCTGGAGAGATCCCAAACCTGTGTGGACATCATCCTGAGCCTCTGCTGTGGGTGACCCGCTGGAGCAGGGGGGTTGGGTGAGATGTGCCCCAGAGGTCACTTCCAACCCCCACCATGCTAGGATTCTGTGATCTAGTTGCATTTTTGAGACTTTGTCATTTTCAAGACTTCACACATGAGTTACACCTGCATGTGAATTTCTGGAGCTCCATTTTAGAGACAGCAATATTCAGAAAAAGATACTCGTAGATACTAAAGCTACTAATAAGATACTTAGCAAAGTAATGGTACAGTAGGGCTAGAAATATGGAAATTTGAAAAATTGCTTTCTTTCTGGTCTTGTGGTGCAGATTTAAAAAAAAAATTTTTTTCTAGTGATTTCTGTGACTTTGAGCTCACAATTGTGTCACCTTTAGGTGCTGTTTGGCAGTTTGTTACTTGATTTGAAACCTGTACAATTCTGGGATCTTTCATCAACTTATTTTCCCTTTTTTCCTGCGCAGGAATTTCCACTCTCTCTTTTGTGTCTCACTGATGGTTCGTGTGTTTTATGCGAGTCAATACCACGTGCAGTAAGCAAACATTTCACAAAGAAAATGTGTTTTCATTTGTCCTCTGTTTCCCACCAGCTCCCGCCCAGGCAGACCCCCCAAGCGCTCCCTGGGAGTTGCCATACAAGAGAACGCACGTCTGCTGCCCCATGGAGTTCCAGGCCTCTTATCACCAGGACTTATCTCTCCGACAGGTAATAAAATCCATCAGATGATCAGCCTCATCTCTTCATACTGCACAGCAGTTAAAATAAACTAATATTGATCTAACTGCCTTGTCCTTCAGGGCTTTTTCAAGCTTTACCAGAGGTTACGTTATTGGATTTTTTGAGCGTTCACAAAAACTCTGTTTTGTCGCTGCAGTGACTGAAATCTAATGGATTTGTAATTTAGTTCTTTATTAATTGTAATTTCCTTACAGGAAATTGCATTAAATGTGTTATTTTAGTAAAAGAAAAAACCTGAGAAAATGAACTGCTGTCTGGGAGAGCCCCGCAGCATCGCGTGTTTCTTGCTGTCACACGCACGTGTGTTGTAGTTCTCCTGGGGTAAGAACAGCATGGCTAATGAGCATTGCATGGTAACATCATTGGTGTGTGCTGGGAAGGCAGAGAAGTGCTTCTATGGGTTACAGAAGAAACACTTGAACAGCAGATAAGTCCACGTTGCCACAGAGGCTTGTACTTTTAATAATCTACATTCAGTATAATGATGTGAAGAAACTAGCATGAAAATAGGTGAAATTATAAACAAGCCCTACACATAATTTAATGCATAGTATCTTATTTCACTTCATTAATTTATTAATAGAGTTTAAATTAAATCTTGTGCTGTCCTGATGAGTGCTTTAATTTTTTATTAATTGCTGTGTGCTAAAGGTAAGTTTATTTTGGTAATAAAGCTATATTAACAGACTATATTCATAAAAGTAATTGTTTAAATATTCAACAGGCTTAGCAGTTTTAGGATTACTCTAAGTCCAGTCTAAAGAGATTGTACCTCCATCATAAGCAAACTTAGTGAAGTGTTTAGCAGAATATAAAGTTACTGGATATCTTACAGGAGAAGCAGAGTCAAACAAAGGAAGATTGGTAGGAGCAGAGTGACTTCTACCTTGATCTTACAGATGACTCTGCTTGCAGAACCTCTTGCTCTGCAGCTGAGAGCCTTGGCAGGTCTCAGCATTCGGGGGACTAACAAAGCTGAGATCTTCCTTTTCTCCCACACCTCCTGGTGTCACAAGGACTTCCCAGTGAAGCAATAACCTTTCCCAAGGGGAGGTAGGAATGAACATTCTTAAGCAGCAGTCGGTCCTGAACTGGAGCAGTTAAGGCAGGCTGAAAGCATTTTGCTGGAGCCAGATGCCCAGCTGTGCTACTGCAGCTTCGTGTGTGTAGCAGGGCTCAGGAGCTGTGGTTTTACACTTAGGAGCATCTCATACATGAGAGACTGCTTCAGTCAATCTGGTGTGTTCTCAGCTCAGGAATTCCATGGACCTGGTGTTATGTTACTGCTAACAGACAGGGAAGCACAAGGGCTAGCTTGCATTGATAATCTCCTGCCACAGATCCAGAATGTTCCATGTTACTTTTCCTCCCTGTGGATGTTTGCAGATAGGATTGAAATTATGCAGACTATCATATTGCTTTGAACTGGGAAATATTTTAGGATGCAGTGTGCTGGGCATGCAGTGTAAAATAGTATCATAGACATGTTCTGTGTGTCTCACGGATATTTTAAACAGTGTTTGAGTAAAATTTTTTTAAGTTGAACTTCCAGACTGGTGTAAGTTGTTTGGAGTCTGAAGCGATGACTGGGACACATCCCACTTTGTGTAACAGGCGGGGGTTGATGTGAGAAGATTGGCCCTGGGGGGCTGTCTCTCAGCAGAGGCCAGGGTGGACACCTTCATGACCTTGGGAGCTGCCTGTGGAAACCACTGCATGACCAAGTGCCAACAGGCACAGGCAATGTGACTGTAGTCACAGACAAGTGTGACAGTTTCAGTAGCTGAAATAGGGTTTGGGGAGCAGCTTGTAGGCAGGAGCAAATGCTCATTTCCAGAGCACTGCAGCATCATTGAGGACCTGGATGAGGCAGGTCCTCACAGATGGAGCAGCCCTGCCACCAGCCCCTGGCAGGCTCCATGCTAACAGCCTCTGCGGTCTTGTCACACAGGAATCAGCACTCCTGAAGTTTTTGAGTTGTTTTATCTTGTTCATAAGGAGAAAACAGTGTAAAAGTTGGGGGAATTGCTGAGTAAGGAAATGTGCCAAAAGAGCCACTTGTAAACTCAGTGGGGATTTGAGCTGTTGTAAACTTCATGGAGCACGTGGGATCCAGAGCCTCCATTAGCTTTATTTATACCTATCTACACTTAATTACTGACTGCTTTGCTCTGGTTGCCTTCAACACTTCTGCAATTGGATTCTTTCCTTTTGGCTGAACTAAGAACAAAGTGCTTTTTAATGCTTCTCAGCAGAACAGAGATTTTTCTTCCAGACTTCTGAGTGGTGCATAACAGATCAGAGTAAGATTTGCAAGGATATTAACCTGTTGTCTACCAGCTAATCTTTAATTTGGTTATGATCTCACTCATTTATGATTTGGTCTGGTTCCAACAGTTTTGGCCCACAGAATTTGTATGTAAAACTGAGTCCATGACCTGCCTCCAGCTGCCCCTGCTCAGTGATGTGCTGGCTTGGTGGGGGCTTTCTGCATGGAGCTCTCTCTGCTCCCACAGGGGGTTTCAGGTGGCTGGGGGGCAGGGGGAGCAGGACCAGGGCTGGGCAGAGAATGAGGAGAGTTTGCAGCTTGGTAGGGCTGGATCTGTTCCTTCTGGTGGAGTGGATGCTGGTGATGGAGGCAAGAATGGCTCTTTACATCTTGGTGACTCTTTTGGTTACCTGCTTCCTCAAACTGCAGTGTAATGGCTCAGAGCATTTCTTTTGGATGTCTTTTTGTCCACTCCCTGATAAACCCTGTGTCTGATGTGACCCATTCCTCCTACAGCACAGGTACACTGATGGTCATGTTCATCTGCCTACATTGTTCTGAAAAAACAAAATCACACTTCTGATGTGGTCACCTCATTTTCTGTGTCCAGCTTAGCATCTGAGTTGTTTTCTTCTTCAGATAAGTTTATTTTAGTAACACATCAGCAAATGCAGCATCTTCATCCATCCATTGTACTTTTTCAGATTACCTCTTCCCTAGTCTCCTGCAAAGTTGAGGTACAGGAGTTTGTGTCCAGGTTGGCTGTTTGTTAGAGGGATAGGTCTCAAGAAGTCGCTGCTCTGGCTGCAGAGCTCTGAGATCTGTCTGTAGAGGCTGTTACAGAGTGGTGATTGGTGACTTCCTGCAGACCTGAGCGAGCCATCTGTGGTTCCACTCCTTGAAATGTGCTGTTATTTTCATCACCCATTTGGTTTGTGTCAGCTCAGTTTACATGGTCATTTTCACATAATAAACAGGTAGTTAAATTAGGCATACTGCATTTCCCAGGGTAGAGGGTAGCTTTTTTACCTCTTGGCAGAGTGGGCTGCAGCTACTCTTATACATAAGTAATCTGTGAAGGAGCTATAAGTGAAGCCTTGACCTTTTAAAATACTTGTAGGTAACTTCCACCTCTGGGCAATGGGAATGTTTGAGTTACGACGAGACTAGAGCAGATTAGACTAAAACTGCTGTGGAAGAGATGAGGTGGTGGGTCTGGGATGTGAACCACTGGGAAGGGCTTGTGTCAACAGCACAACAACCGTGCCCAAACCCCATCCTTCAAGAGCTGGTATTTAGTGCTGTCTGTTTCACTTAATGTAGGAGAAAGTTGGGGTTTTTCTTCTTCTTGTATTCATGCAGGAAATGTGGAGATCAGGGTGATGCCCTTGCCTGCTGTGAGGGCAAAGGGAAAATCCTGTATGTCACAGAGGGATGGTCATCAAAGGCTCAGTTCCTCAAACAATGCAGTGTGATGAAGTGACATTAACAAAACATCTATCTCCTCTTAATGGACAAGTCTTTGTCATCAGTGTATCTTAACAAGACAGTTGGGACTTATTTATGGAATAGATTCTCAAGTAGGGTTTGCAGCAGTAGTTTGCTGTGTGGAGAGAAGCTGAAATCCATTCCATGACTTAAGCCAGTAGTTCAGAAAACTGATACTGAATGAATATTCAAACTGATATGAAGCTGAAAGACTGGTTGGGTCTTTTGGTAGTTATCTGTGCCAACTTCAGTTCTGCTACTGTTCATGTATGTCATCCCCAAAAAAGGTTAGAAGACCACTGTAGTTAAAGTTAGAAGTTAGACGAAATTAGAAGACCACTGTATGAAGTTTTTATGCAGTTTTTCTCTATTAAATTTGTAGAATGGCTGCTATTCTTTCTATAAAACCATCGTGAGAATTGCTCCATCTTGTTTTCAAGATTTTGGAGAGGGCAGCTCATGAAGAAGATCATCCTGCTACTAGAACTTTGTTAGATTGTGGTACAGGGCACAAACCTGCTTTCTGGGGCAGTTTGGTTTTTTTTCCCCAGGTAGTAGGATGGGCATCTCTTGACTGCACATGGGCTGGGAGCCCCACAAGTGAAGCTGCTGGGGGGCTGGGAGGTCTGGTGGGGCTGGGTGCCAGGGAGGTGGACTCGAGCCTGGTTAAAATGTTCCTGTTGCCATGTAATGTTTCTGGGATTTGGTGCCTAGAGCCATGGGCAGCCTGGTGGGCCTGGCAGGGTGTGTGCAGTATGGGTCAGTGGTAGGTTGGAGCGAGGACTTGGGGCCAAGGGCTCATTGCAGGAGTTGGGGGGAAGCCTGGCTGACATTAGGAAAGGAAAACAAGGTGTTCTCAAATGGATATTCCATTTCAGTGGCCTTTGCTGGATGTGAGGGAGGAAGACTCAGAATTTCACAGGTTACACAAAGATTCAGGCCCAGGTGATGATTGTTCTGCAGGGAGAACTGGTTGGAATGTGGTGTGTGCAGAGGCTGTGGGGTAGGGCAGGATGTCCAAGGCCCTCCCTGGTGCCACCTCTGGATGAAACCCACGGCCAGCATCTGTCAGTGGCTCTGCTATTCTCCCACGTTGGGCTGCCCAGGTGCCAGAAGCAAACCACCTGCAGTTCCAGAGGTGGAAGGTAAACTGCTGTGTGCATAGCAGCTACATTCGTTTCACCTCCCTTGACGTGATCCTTTTTAATTT